CTGCCACCAGCTGGCATTGTTCCCAAGGAGAGCTTGCCTCCCTCAGGGCCAGGACGCTGTCCTGAGCTGCTCCAGCCCTGGCTCGTCATGCTAACCGTTGAGCAGGGACGTGCAGGGCATTATGCATTGTGCCCGTGAGGTTCCATCCTGATCGTTTGATTTCTTATAAGGGGAACTGGCTTGGCCTTGAGGGTTGACACAGTGTGTCCTTCCAAAAGGTCTGCTCAAGTCCTGACCCCAGGACCTTTACGTTAAGATGTAAACTAAGATGTAGTCATACTGGGGACTTCCCTGGTGGCGCAGTGGTTAAGAATCCGCCTGCCAATGCAGGGGACCCAGGTTCGAGCCCTGGTCCGGGAGGATCCCACATGCCGCGGAGCCACTGAGCCCATGTGCCTCAACTACTGGGCCTGCGCTCTAGAGCCTGTGGGCCACAACTACTGAAGCCTGGGCACCTAGAGCCCGCGTACCACAACGGAGAGTAGCCCCCGCTCACCACAGCTAGAGAAACCCTGAGCGCAGCAAAGAAGACCCGACACAGCCAAATGTAAATAAATATTTTTAAAAAAGGAAAAAAAAAAGTTGTAGTCATACTGGATTAGGGTGGACCTCAACCCAATCACTGGTGTCCTGATAAGAAGAGATACAGAGATACAGGACACACAGGAGAGGCTGCCTGAGGATGGAGGCGGAGGTGGGTGTGATGCCGACACAACCAAGGGTGCCAAGGACCGCCGGCCACCACCAGAGGCTGGGAGGGAGACAGGGAGCAGATACCCCCTTGGAGGCCCCAGGAGGAGCCAACCCTGCCGACACCTCGACTTCTGGCTTTGGGCCTCCTAAGCCCCCCGTTTTCGGTGCTTCGTGGGGGCAGCTCCGGGCAGCTGGGATTTGAATCTGCATATTAACAACTGTGAGTGGCACGCGTTCCTTCCCCAAGACGAAAATAAAAACGTTACCCAGGACGGTCGTTCTCTTCTGCCCGGTGCTCAGCCCCCACCCCCAGCCCCGGGCGGGCAGCTGGGCGTCCCCACTGGGCGTCTCTTGCTTTGTCCGCAGCTGCTGCTCCCTGCGCGCACCGGCCCGCAGCTGCCGGGAGCCGTTTTTGCGCCGACACTGTTTTGTTGCCTTTCTTGGACGTCTGCAGTGGTGGCGGAGGACCATTCCACGTGGAAGCTGGCCGTGCTCCCTTGGGGCCGCGTGGCTCCTGGCGTCCGTGTCGGACGTGGCACAGCGCGAGGGTCGGATCGGGACCCGAGGTGCTGGCTCTGACCGCCGTGCTGATGCAGATGTCGGGCGTTGTCCCCTGGAGCCCTTTTTCTGACCCAGGACCTCGTGTCCTCCCAGGGGGTGGGCAGCGGGCCAGGACCCCCTCGTGTGCGTCTTTCCTGGCCCTGACACTGCTGATCGCTGCCCGTCACTTCGTACAGTTCACCTCATTTGGGTTTGTCTGACTTTTCCTCACAGCTAAATCTAGCTTCTGTGTTTCTGACAGGAATCCCGTGTCCCATGCTGTCACTGTGCCCTGGAACAGGCTGTGCTCACCTTGGCCTCTGGCTTTCGTGGTGGCCTCCAGGCTCCTGTACTGTGCGGTCCACGATGGAGAGCCTTGCAGGGAGACCCTTGGGGGCCCCGTGAGGCCTCCAGGCTCCTGTGCTGTGCGGTCCACGATGGAGTGCCTTGCAGGGTGACCCTTTGGGGCCCTGTGAGGCCTCCAGGCTTCTGTGCTGTGCGGTCCACGATGGAGTGCCTTGCAAGGAGACCCTTTGGGGCCCTGTGAGGCCTCCAGGCTTCTGTGCTGTGCGATTCACGATGGAGAGCCTTGCAGGGAGACCCTCTGGGGCCCCGTGAGGCCTCCAGCCTTCTGTGCTGTGTGGTCCATGATGGAGCGCCTTGCAGGGAGACCCTTGGGGCCCCGTGATACCCTGCCTTTCCTCGTGCTTCCACCCACTGGCTTTGGCTTCAGCGATGATTCTTGCCTGGAACTTTATGCGGTGCTTTTCAGGTGGTGATTTAAAAGACATTCCATCCTTCCGTCTACATGTCTTAGTTGGCATTCTACCAAAAGGAAGAGCTTCCCCCTCCCCAATTTCCTTACCTTTTCAATTATTATTTATTTATTTATTTTGCAGTACGCGGGCCTCTCACTGTCATGGCCTCTCCCCTTGCGGAGCACAGGCTCCGGACGTGCAGGCTCAGAGGCCATGGCTCACGGGCCCAGCCGCTCCGCGGCATGTGGGATCTTCCCGGACTGGGGCACGAACCCGTGTCCCCTGCATCAGCAGGCGGACTCTCAACCACTGCGCCACCAGGGAAGCCCACTTTTTCAATTATTTATATCAGCGTGGATTTGTGCGTCTTATTTTTTCTGTGGAGTATAGTCCACTTGCCTCATTCGCTTCGCAGCTGCCCTGGGGGCCCTGTCACCACTCTCTGCTCCTGTCCTGATGTTCTGGCACCTGGAGATGCCCCAGCCTCCTCTGGTCGTTTCCCTGCCCCAGCCCTGGACATCAGCCATCTCTCCAAGGACCGTGGGGCCTGTTTTTAAAGTACTAGTTGTTTTATTATTTTTTTCAAATTTTGCCGTGGCTGCTGTTACCTTTCTAGAGTTTTGTGTGCCGTGTGCCACCAAGAGGGTTTGACAGGAGGGTCTGAGAGATCCCCAAGCGGTCGGCTCGGGGCAGAGGGCAGAGGAGGATGCTGCCCCCTTGCCGTCTGTCAGAGGGCAGTGCCGTGGGCATCGGGGGGTTGCAGCAAGGGAGGCTGATCTGTCACGTGTTGGGATGAAGGGGCCCTCATAAAGCCCCTCTCCTGTGAGGGATTTCTGAGTGGGGCCCAGGTGGCTTTGTGGGGAGGCAGGGAGAGCTGTTCTGTGGCTTGGCTGGTCCTGCTCAGGGACTGGGGGCTGGCGGTGGGCACGTGGTGTGGCCAGCTCTGATCCGGTTCCCGGGTTCCCAACGCATTGAAGCAGAACCACTGCCGGTGCAGAGCTGCCCCCTGGGGAACTGCTGGCCCTGACCCTTCTGTCTGGGCCTTGAGGTCCCCGGCTGTGCTGGAAGAGATGGCCATCTCTACTTAGGACAGGGGGAACCCAGGGGTGCTGTCAGCGCCAAGCATGCTGGGTGCTGAAGACCCCGTGGACGGGCTTCAGGCTGAGGGGCGCAGACGTGGGCGCTGTGGATGGAGATCAGCTCTCCTGGCCTAGAACCAGTCCTGGGTGTGGATGGTGCCTCTGGTCGGGGCGAGCTCACGGCCTCTGGGTCCACATGCCGCTGCTGGCGGGAGTGCCCCGCACTGCCCCACACCTGCTGACCTGTGCGTAGTGCAGGCTGACGGTGGGTGCCTCCCCACCCTGTGCCCCGGGTTTGCTGGGATGCCTCCATTTTCCCACACGCAAGGATGCTGGCCTTGGGCCTACTGTTTCAGAGTCACGTTGAGGAAGCCTGTTGATACCCGCCGAGAGCATGCACACACGTGTTTTTAGGAGTGGAGGGTGGGTACTGTTGTGTTGGCATCTTTTCAGCATCTGTGGAAACCTTCATGCAGTTTCTCCCTGGATCTGTCGGTGTGTTTTGCTAACAGGTTTTGTGGAGGTGACTGCTCTTTGTGTTCCTGGCAGGGCCACTCGGGGTGCTTCCTGCTGGGAGTAGGGTATGTGGCTCATCCACACCAGGCTTAGGGGCGGTGATGCTGCCCAGAGGGTGACTGGTGGATTTGAGGTGGGTCCTGGGCGCCTGCCGTGCGGCCTCCACCTTGGACGGCCTGCCGGGCCGAGGAGGCCTCTGGGAAGGCAGTTAGGAACCCGGATTCTGAAGATTCTGGAGGTTCCATCACTGCTGTCATGTTTAATTTCCAACAGCTCTTTTATTTTTCTCTGAATGTTCCCTTTTAACGATCTTACTGTGTAGATACGGCGCCTTCTGTCTCGGAAGCTCTCGTCCTCTGGCGTCATCTGTTTTCTCCAGTTGCTGGGGTCTTCCTGTCTGTCCGCCTCTGTCTGTGGCTTCCTGGGCTGGGGGCCCTTGGCAGCTG